CGGGAGGGATCGCGCGTGAGGATGCGGTGGCGCGTGGGTACGGCGCGCGGGCGTACGTCACGAGCGAGGCGCGGCGCGGATACGCGGGCGCGGCGATGTTCGTCCGCGACGGGTTTCAATCGACGATGCGAACGATCGAGGCGACGGCGCTGTCGAAGTACGCGTTGAGTGATGGGGAAAAAGAGGTTTTGACGCGGTTCGATCTCGAGGGACGGGTGCTGACGTTGGAGACGGATGGATGTTTCGTCGTCTCGGCGTACGTCCCGAACTCAGGCGCGGAGCTCAAGCGTTTGCGAGAGCGAACGGAGACGTGGGAGCGCGCGATGCGAGCGCATTTGTGCGAGCTAAAGAAGGCAAAGCCGGTGATTTATTGCGGCGATCTCAACGTCGCGCACGAGGAGATCGATCTGTGGGGGCGGCACAAGGAGAACGCCAAATCCGCCGGGTTCACGCCCGAGGAGCGCTCCGCGATGTCAACGCTTCTCTCCGAGTGCGAACTGGTGGACAGTTTCCGGCACAAACATCCCGATAAACGTGCGTACACGTACTGGTCCTACCGCGGTCGCGCGCGCGAGCTCGATCGCGGATGGAGACTCGATTACGTTCTCGTCGACCGCCGGCTCGCCGATTCCATCGTCGACGCTGAAATCTACCCCGACGTCACCGGAAGCGATCACTGCCCCGTGAGCGTCACCGTGGCGCTGTAAATTATTTCATGTGTAGCACTCGAACGTTCAATCGACGCCCATCGCGCGCCGATCGCCCGCCTTTTGTTCCGCTCGCTCGAACCGAGCCGAAACCGCGCGTGAGCCACACACGCTCGCGCGCCGTCGTCGCGCGCGCGATGTCCCCGAGGGACGTCGCGGTCGACGACCGTCGCGACGTCCCCGACGCGTCCGCGTCTCGACCGACGCGCGGTGTGCGCGACAAGGCGTCGATGAAAGATTTCACAGAACAACGGTCCTCGAACACTGTCTCGCGGAAATCGCGCTCGACGACGCACCGCGACGCCGTCGAACGGGCGGAACGCGCGATGGAACTCGTCATCCGTCGCGTGCGCGAGTTGGAGCGCATGAGTGTGCGAAACGTGCGAGCGAAGGGCGGGAGCGGGAGAGTCGCGACGTCCGCCAGCGGCGCGGAGAGCGCGAGCGGACGAAAGGAAGGAAAGAACGCGAGTCGCTTGAGGATTGGGGACGACGGGGAGTTCCCAACGCTAGGGGTGAACGCGCGGAGGAATCTGACGAGCGCGCTGGAGGGGACGGAGGGGCCGAGACGATTGGCGCCGACGGCGGTCGCGGAGCCTTCGAGCGGCGCGCGGAGGATCGCGCCGACGGTGGTTTCGCGACCGATGAGCGGGAGAGAGGCGAGTGGGACGAGTACAGGGTTCGTAGGATCCGCGTTCGGGGCGCCGTTGGCGCGAACGCGGTCGAAGAACGTCGGGTCGACGTCGCCGACGAGTGGCGCGAGGAAGGAATTGGAGCGCTTGTACGTCGCCGAATCGAGCGCCGAGGACGTCGAGCCAATCGAGCTCGATCCAACGCTAGCGAATTTGGCAAATTCACACGCGGAGGCACTTCGCGCCGGGTACCCGCTCGATCAGTCCAGCGCGCTCGCGCGTTTGTTTCAGCTACTGAGCGCGCCGTCAGAGTTAGAGGTGGAGACCGAAACGAACGGAGACGCGCGAGGGCCCGTCTTGCGCACGGGAAGAGAGGCGCATGCGTACGCGTGCGCGGTCTTATCACTCGTCCCTTCGTTGGCGTTAGCGCTCGGTGAGCGCGCGCTGGAGGCTTTGGCTGAATCACGCGTGTTGGCGTCGCACGCGCCGGCGCTGCACGCCAAAATCGTTCGAGAGTTCCGATCCATTCGCGTGGCCTCGGGAGAGACCGAGAGGGCGTATCAGTTGGACGGCTGGTCGAGGGGTACTTTGCACGGGTTTGATTTGCTCGACGCTTTGGCCAAGGCGAGCGAGCGCAGCTCCGGGGGGCGCGCGGGTGCGCGTGGACGCGTGATACCGCTCGCCGAGCGACAGGCTATCGAACACAATCGCGAACGCACGCGGGACGCGTTCTACGCACTCTTACGAGCGTCCGCGAGTAGAACGGGAGGATTAGGGCAAGACGCCGCGATAGGTAGCAAGTCGCGCGCGCTTGTCGCGAGCACACATCCGGCGAACATGCGTTGGCTTGCGGATTTGTTCGTTGCGCGCCTGTCGCAGAGCAGCGCTGTAGGAGAGGTAGACGAGGAGTTAGGAAAGAGCATAAAACCCGAACGATTATCGCGGCTTCACGAACGAATAGTCGGACCGAGCAGTGCCGCGTCACAGCAAGGAGAGAGAGGCTCAAACGTACCGCCACGAGTGGATGGAAGAGGACCGGGACGTGGACGGGGAGGACGTGGAGGGCGCGGAGGTAACGTCCAAGGCGTACCACACACCAGCCATGGTTTCGGGGACCTCTCAGCGTGGCCGTCGTTCGCCTGCATGTTTCCACCGGCGCAGCAGCCGTTCGTGCGATTTATCGAGACCACGGACTCACACAAGTTCTGCGTCGCTTTGAAACGCTCTCTCATCGAGGCCTTGCACGCGATAGACCCGAATTCGTCCCCGCGCAGCGATCAGACGACGAATTCTTCGGGCGTCGGTCAAACGGAGCGCATGTTAGCCGCGCAAGCCATTGGTTCATTTTTGGGTATGCTAACTTTCGGAATCGCCTCATCATCTACGGGCACGACTTTGGAAGGGATCGATCTCGTTGAGACGCTCCACCGCGCGACCAGACGTGGTGAGCTCGTGTTGAGCGCTCCTTGGGTATTAGCTTTCTTAAGATTCTTAATGTGGGATGTGGACTCGCTGGAGATACAGCAGTACGCAGCGGCACTGACGGAACTGCGCGCCATCGCAGCATCGCCCGGTTTGGATCCCTCGGTAACAAACACCGACTTCAACGTCTCTCGCATGTGTTTGCGGGCGATCCTCGCGAATGGTCTCTCGGTGAGTGCACCGATCACTACGGCGCAGGCGGCGAGTTGGGTCGCGAACAACGTGATGGCTCTGCCTCCTCCGCCTTTGGCAGCGATGGAATCGCTTCCGACGACAAGTAAGGAGGACGTGCAGAGCTGCGGTGATCCGCTGAGGACGCAGGTTTGGGGCATGGAGTGGGTTCCATCCGCGTCGGCAAACGCGAGTGCCACCGCGAACACGCAGGAAGTGCCTGGATCGCCGAGTGATGCGGACGCAAGGAGCGAGACAAACATCGCGCCAGACTTAAGTCGAATGGGAGTGGATGGTCGCTACGTCGAGACGGTGTGTCCCATCATAGAGCAGGCTGTGCGAACGATGAAGCAGCGACTTGCGATCGCGCACGCCTTAGCCGAAGAGTCGGAGCAAGTCGAACATGCGGAGACAAATTTGATGGAGACTCCGTCAGCGCCCTCGGCGCCAGTAAATGCGCCGAGAAGAGTTCTCGCCCAGCCTCAAAGATTAGAGCCCACTTCGGTCACCAAAGCGGCGCAACTTCGAATTTTCGGCAGTGAGACTGTGCTTGATCAGAAAAATACTGTTTCGCCCACCTTTGGCGTCGCTTCACCGGTGGCGGAGAGCACGCTCGCGTCGATGCCGTCGATGGAAATGAAGTCATCAGCCACAGAAATCAAGCACGCGCTGCAGCGCGCCTTCTTGCAAAATGTTCCGGGGCTGAGGCGTCTCGTCGATTTTGCCGTCGATGCAGCCACGTTAGCGGCGGTGGATGACGCCACAGCGGCGGTCACGGCGAAGGCGGTGTCGAGCGCGCAGATGACGGTGAGTTCCGCAGCGATGCAGGCAGCTACGAAATACGCGGATACAGCGAAGAGAAACGGTACGACGTTCGTTTCCCACGCCGGCGCCGTGATTGAAGAAGCTTGGACACCCGAATTCGAGCGCGCTGTTGAGAGATCGGCCATGGCGGCGACTAGAGAAGTGATCTCATCCGTCGAGCGCGCGGCGTCGGAGGATGCGGGCGCTCGCGCCGCTGCCGCGGTTGCGGCACTGGCAGGTGCGAGTACGGGCACGGAGTCAGACCGCTCTACCGCGTCGACGAGTGCCGCGTGTGGCGTCGCAGCTGACGCCGCGGCTTTTGCGGCGGCGGCGCGTGTTCGCAGCAATTTGCCGTTTGAGCTGCACGCGCGCATCGCGACGGATGCCCGCCGGTTGCTCAAGTCTGCGCTTAACGACGCAAAAGAAGCCATGGACGCTCAAGAGTGCGATGCTCCGGTAAATGGGACGAAGCAATCAGCGCGCGAAGCGGAGTACGCGAGTATTGCCGCGTCTGCGATCGCTTCGGCGCTCTCGTCGGCGTCGAAGTGGCCCGCCGGCACGCTCCTCGCCGAGTGCGCTTCACTCAAATCGCTCGCCGAGCGCAAGGTAGACGCCCTTACCCTCGCGCGCGGGATTGAGAACGTCGTTGAGAGCGTAAAAAAGGTGCTCGAACAAGATGCCAAGTTCAGTCGCGTCCAGTTGAGCAGGAAGAAGCCCTCGGCGCATGTCGACAAGCATGTCCCAGATTCAAGACCAGGGGAAAAGCTCGCGGCGCTGCTCTCGCGATTCGCGAGATCTTTCGTCAAGATCTTATTGGCAGCACCTCAAAACGCGCTGTGGAAGACGACCAAGGCGAAATCGGCCGAGGAAGGCTGGGGCATCTCTCGCGATGAAGTGTGCGAAGGTGTCACATCGACGTTTGTCGCCACGTTTATCGCCGCCGAGCCGGCGTTGAGCCTCGTCGAGGCTCTCGCTCCACCGGATGCCCCGGGACCGTGGAAACGCGTGTACGACGAAATTTTCGCAGCCGAGCTTTGGCTTCCCGCGTTACGAGAGTTCCCAGCGAGTCCGTTCGCCCAGCATCGAATCGAGCTCGTCTTCGCCGACGCATTGGCCAAGCTCCCAAAACGCGCTGCACTGCGTGAGAGCTTTCTCCGATTGATTGACGAAGCGGGTAAGCGCGTTGGCATACTCGGACATGCGTTAGCGCTGCGATCTGCCATCCGTTTCTGCGCCGTCGTCGCCGAGACTTCGACGCATGAAAATGTCGCCGACTCGAGCGCGCTTCGCTCCTTTGCGAGCGACCTCATCGACCGATGTCGAGACGCCAGGGAACCGCGACTCGCCAGGCGCGCCGAGACGGCTCAAAAGGCTCTTACTCGCGGTCTCATAGGGGCCAACATGAAATCCATCGCCGATCCGATCGAATGATGCCTCGCCGCGCCGGTAGGTTGTATTAGGTGAGTTGTAAGCGTAACCGAACGAAACAGAAGTCGGCACACGTCGCCGCACGCCATGTCCGCAGCGACCGCGAATTCCATCGCGTACTCCGCCCGAACGCGATCGCGCTCGATCGATCGCGCTCGATCGCGCTCGATCGCGCGAGCGTTGACAAAGCTCGACCCTCCTGCGTCAGACTTGGAAGGCTTTGACAAAGAAATTCGCTTCGAATGGATCGGACACACCGCCGCGTTCGACGCAAGGACGGGAGAGGCGGAGGTTCTGCCTTCTTACGTCGTTCCACCCGCGTTTGCGGAGTGGGGAGTCGAGCTCACGGATTGGCAATCGCAGTGCAGCACGGCGGTGAGCGGGCGGGCGCTGTACGCGAAGGATGCGCGGTTCGTCCCTGTGGTCGGATGCGAAGCGGACGCGAGCACGGTGTACGATGCGGAGGTCGATTTAATCAGTGTTGATTCTATGGCGATCGAGGAGGGGTGTTACAGCGCGCATTACGTCGACTCAAAGGGGCACGAGACGGTGACGCACTGCGTGACGACGGCGCCCGGGACGACCGAGCCGAGAATGCGAGTGCGGGCGAAACATCGAGCTGATGGATTAGGGACGGTGAGAATATGGAGAGAGGCTTTAGACGACGAGTTCACCGACGGAGGCGTCTTGGCATCGTCGTGCGGTGGGAACAGCGCGGTGGCGAAATTCGCCGAAGGCGCGAGAGACGCGTTCGATGTCGCGCGACGCGTCGACCCCTCCTACGACATCCCGTCCGATGCTGTGGCGTTACCCGCGGGCATATGGTTCCGCGTCGTCGTCAACGAGGACGGTTCGTACGACAGCGAGCTCGGATACGCCCACGAGGAGTCCAAACAACACCTCGTGAGCGCCCGCGCGCGCGCCGGAGCCGACGAGTCATCCGTCGACGTCTCCTTCCATCGCTCGCGCACCGCTTGATCACGCTCGAATTGTATCGCATTAAACTTCGCGATAATGCACTCCCATTCGTTCGCCGTTCAAAAATGCATGGAGTCGCGCGATTCGTCCCGCCGTCTGGGCTCGCGTCGTCGCGCCCGCGGCTTCCAAATCATCGACGTCATCACTCCGCGACGCCGCGCTCGAGCACGATGTTCGCCCGAACGACCCAACCGCTCGCGTCACCGACGTCGAGGACGCGCAAAAACACGCGTCGGTCGACGAAAATCGACGCGCTGTTCAAGAAGAAGGCGCCGCCGCCGCCGCCGCCGCCGCCGCCAAAGAAATCTTTCTTTAGCTTTGGCGCTAAAAAATCTGAACCTCCGCCGCCGCCGCCGCCGCCGACGCGGGCGACGATGGGATTCGGATTCGGACGAAAGGCGCGAAGCGAGAGCACCGCCGCGCCGGTCCGGGACGTGGAGTACGTGCGCGAGGAATCGAAATCGGAGGCGTACGCGCGGATTCGTAAAGCCAGAGAACGCTCGCGCAAGGAATTCGAGGCGAAGGAGCGAGGCGGGGTGTCGTACGCGTTATTCTCCGTCGCTCGAGCGTTAGATTTTCAAGAGGATATTGAAAGTGATCGTGGGTTGCTGAACGCGGCGAGGAGGATGCGGAACGGGGATAAGATGTCCACCGAGCAATACGGCGCGTTGCGAAGAAAGGTTGGCGGGACGAAAGGCGGCTTCTTCGGCGAGAACGTTGACGTCGTGGGTGCGTACACGGATAAAGGATACGTAGATAAGGATGACGTCGGAACCGATATCGTAGGGGCGCCGTTCTTGGCGGCGGTCTTACTCGGCGTGCTCGGCACCACGATTTGGGTCGCGGTTCAGGTTCCGTGAATAGTCGCGTAACGCTCGTGTGATTCTGATTCGTTAATCCAAGCCGTCGAGATCCCTATACGCGATCTCGCTGAGGTTTCCGCGCGCGTCTAATTCGTCAACTAACGCGTCTTTAACGTCGTCCTCGACGCGTGCCTCTGGAAAGGCACCTATGGAAGCGTCGTGCGCCAGTCGCGGCGGCGGACGTCTCGTCGACACCGTCATCGCTCCGGACGCGCGCTCCATCTTCGACAGTACCAGCGGCATCGTCTCCGCCCTGCGAAGCGTCAACGCCAACTTTGTGACGTCGTCATCGATCAAATCCATCTCCGCGCCATCGTCGCGTTCGATCATCGCCGTCGTCGCGTCTCTCGGCGCGTCCTCCGGGTACGTCAAATATTTAGGCGTCTCGTACGTCAACCCCAATCGATCCATCTCACGTATTCTCTTCACCACCGCCGGCGCCGTGAGATCACACACGTCATCCCCCCGATCGATCACGCAGTACGCTCGCGCGAGCGACGCCTCGACGCCCTCGATCGCGCGTCTCACCTCCGCGTCCCGCGAATCCTTCACCTTTTGTCCGTGATGTCTACTGCTCGACGTCGTCGCGAACTCCTGTCTCGTTCGAGCGCGCGCCGCGGTCAGTCCATGCGCCTCGTCCTCGTCCTCGCTCGCGCGTCCACGCGTCGCGACGCACGCGCACGCACGTCGTACTCCAGGTCCAACATCGCGCGCGCACCACCGAGCGTTACGATGCGTTACGACCGTGGACGCCCGTCGTCGCGCCTCGCCGTCGACCCGACGTCCGCGCGCGACGGCCACGGGCGACGCGCGAGGACGCGCGCGAGGGCACCGCGTCGACGCGTCGCGAGCGTCGACGCGCGCGCGTCCGTCGTCGCGTCCGTCGTCGCGCGGACGCGTCGCTCGGGCGTCGCGTCGAGTGTCACCCACGTACCCCACACGGGCGTCACGCCCACACAGTACACGACTTTTACCAATACACCAACCACCGCGTGTACGATATACGACCCAAACCACGCCGACGCCTATATACCCCACACGGGCGTCACGCCCACACAGTATACGACTCACACCGATACACTGACCCGAACTACACTATATACACACGCGCGTCCGACCCACCCCATCGGACCGTCCGAACGCGAAATAATCGGCCTCACGCCCACACAGTACGACGCCCATGCGCGCCCTCGTCGTCACGCTCGAGCACGACGCGTCGACGTCCTTCTCGGGCAACGGCGTCCTCGCCCGCGCCCTCGTGCGCGCGCTCGCGACGCGCGGCGTCGACGTCTTCGTCCTGTGCGCCACCCCGCGCGCGAACGACGAGGCGGACGCGGACGATGGGACGGATGGACGAGTGATTCGAATACCCGTCCCGATGGCGCGATGGCATCGATTGGATCGACGCTCGGCGCACGACGCGTTCGCGCGTGGATGCGCGGACGCGCGCGTGGTCGAGCGCGTGCGGGCGTTCGCGTGTGACGTCGCGTTTGCGGTGGATTTCACGTCCGTGAGGGCGGTGGAGGCGATTGGATTGCGGGCGGGGACGAGGGTGTGTTTTTGCCCGTTTCGCGTCTTCGCGCGTCTGGACGGATCGGAAGGCGACGCGCACGCCGTGTACGAGCGCGCGGCGGTGGCGGGGACGTGGATGACGATCGCGTTGTCGCGATCGGACGCGATGTTTGTGATGGAACGGTTGGGGGGAAGGGGACGGACGCGATGGACGCACCCGCCGCTGCGACGGGACGCGGCGCGAGAGGCGATGAGAGACGACGGGACGCGGCGGGCGCGGCGGTACGTCTCGTGCGTGGTGCGACCGAGTGAGGAGAAGAAACCGCATCGATTCGTGGCGATGTGTGAGGAGCTCGCGAGGCGAGGGGTGTTTGACGCGAAAGATGGAGGTGCGCCGCTCGCGCCGCTCATGTGCATAAACGCCGAGGTGAAGAGTGACTACGCGAGAGATTTGCGGAGGCGATTCGAGGCGTGCTCGCCGAACGCGCGCGTGGTGGATGAATTTCTCGGAACGCGGGCTCTGGGAGACGTGTTCGAGGAGACCTTGCTCAACGTCCATCCGCCGTCGTACGATTCGTTCGGGATGACGATTATCGAGGCGGCGGCGTTCGGCGCGCCGACAGTCATGCACAACGGGGGAGATGTCGGGGCGAGAGATTTACTCAGCGCTGATTCCGACGTATCGTGCTTCGATATGAACATGGAGGCGTCCGCGAGCGAGCAGGCGGACGTGATAGAGACGATTATTAATGATCCCGAAAGGATTCATAAAGTCGCGCAGAACGCGCGGTTACGCGCGCTGAAATGGGACGAGGACGCGTTCGGCGAGGCTATTCTAGACATCATTAGAGAAAATTAGCGAACTAGGTTATGATCATATCGCATGCGACAAAAATAACGCACTCACCAACCGTCTTCCGCGGAAACGGCGCGGAGGCCGGCGAGGCCGTCCGTGTGCACAAAGGATTTCGCCGTCGGCGACGACGCAAAGTCCTCGATGAGTGTTGAATGTTGCGTCTTCGCGCGCTCGAGCGTCGCGCGCACCGTTCTGCGAATCACGTCATTCGCGTCGTCTGCGAATGGGAACAGTTCCCGCAGATGCGCGGCCGCTTCGGTGGACGTACCCATGTGTTCCAACGTCTCGCGCAGCGCTTCGCACGCGCGCTCGCGCTCATGCTCAAACGTCGACGTTGAGAGATCGTCCATATACTTCCTCGCGAATTGATCGACATGCGCTCGCGCGTTATCTGGATCCGCCGCGTACACGGCTCGCCGCAACACGCCCATCGCGCGCGCTATCTCGTCGCTGTGAAGGGACAGCGTACAAAAAATCTTCATCGCGTCGCTGACGCGCGATGCGTGCGAGAGCCATTGAATGAGTATATCGCCGTCCTTCGCGTCACGAGACGTACTCGCGACTCGCGAGAGGCACGACACGACCATCCCTCGAATCTCCGCCACCGCGGCACCGGGTCTCCAACGGAGCCACGAGAGGAGATTATCCAACACAGGGGCGAGCAAAGAACTCTGCAAAGAATTCTGGCCGCGTCTGAATCGTCCGTCCACGCCAATGTACGCCGCGAACGCGCGCACGTGACACTTCACCGCCAAGCACGCGTGTACAGATCCATCAAAATTGGCTGGATCGATTCGTTCTTCGAACGCACGCAGAATTCGCTCGCTGAGGCAATCGCCGCGAACGCGCACGTAAAATCTGATCAAAGCCCGCTCGTACCTGCGCCACTCGCTCGCGTCGCCGTACGCGTTGATACTCTCTTCGAAATGCGACTCCACGTGCGTGAGCGATTGATCGGTCTCTGTATTGTCGATGAAATAAGACGCTTCATCGGCGGAATCTTCGTCGAGATTTCGACTTGATTCATCGTTCAATATTTCGATCGCCTTGAGGCGCGCTCGACATCGCCGCGATACGTCGTCGAAACGGTTTCTCGTCAGCTCCAACAGCGCGGCGACGATCTCGGCGCAGCTTGCACTCAGAGTGAGGTCACCACATTTTAACAGCGCGTCAGCGATGTGTGCCGCCAAGGAGGGATCCATCGATCGATCTGGTCGGTCAAGTTCTGCCGAGACGAACGCCTCGGCAATTTCAAGGTACGACTCACCTCGGCTCGTCGATTCCACGCCCGTCATCGTCGGCTCGATCCACGTATAGCGCGACTCCGGGGCGTACGTGAGCAAACTTTCGACAATACGATGAATATCCACGACCTTTGCGTTCGCGGGCCCGCTTGCCATGGCGTCCACGATGTCTCGCGTGAACTCCGCGCACAAAGCGCCGACGTGTTCAATCGCCAACGCTATTGCGCGCAGAGAGATCTCGAACGCGCGCTTGTCTTCTCGAAACGTCGGATTTCTGGTCAAGCATACGAAAACATCTTTTAAGGTGTAACACACCACCGTTCGACACCCCTCACCCATCATCTTCGTCGCGTGCGCGTCGTTGACGACTTTCAAAAAGCTCAGTAAATCATCATCAATCGAAGCGCCAACAAGCAACGCACACAGTGATGCCCCATCCTCTTCTCGCACCGTGTACGTCCCGTCCTCTATTCGGGCGATGAACGATTCAGAGATACTCTCACACACCGCGCGCACGACGTCGGGCTTGACGTCCAAGCTCGATCGAAGCATGTCGTTCGCGTACGCCTCGGGCACGAGCGATCGATGTCCGCCGATGACCAGCGCCGTCGCCAATCCCCCGCACGCCCGCACCGCCGCCGAGCGCACGATCCCTCGTCGATGTCTCGCGCACGTCGATCGTATGGTCCAAAACATCTCTTCGCACGGCCTCAACACATCTTCATTCCGAACGAGGTGCCTCGCGACGTCGCGCGTGAGCATCGCCCGGCACGTTTCCAACGCCGTGATCGCGTTTCCCGCCTCTTCATCTCTCGCGAACGGCTCTAACGCCATCAGCGCCGTCTTGAGCTCCGTGATCGTTCGCACGCGTTTCGATGTCGTGCACAGAGCCGTGCACACCGCTTTACGCGTCGTTTCGTCTTTTTCAATCCTCGCGCGTCGCTCACAGAGCCCGAGCGCCCAGTCAACGTCTCGCGCGTCCGTCGAGTTGACCGACGTCGATTCCACTCGTTCGAACATCTCGTTCGCGCGTCTCACAAACTCGAACGCGAGACGGCGAACCTTAGCGCTCGCGTGGTCCACTGTGCGCGACGTCACGCGTCGAGCGACGTCGAGGAGTCGGTCGACTGAAAGTTGTTCAGCTGCAAAAGTGTCGGTTCGTATCTCGAGTTCCTTCGTGACCTCCTCCAGGGCGGACGCGATCGTGGGGACGATCGCGGACGCCTCGAGTAGACGACATGCTTCGTCTAATGGCTCGCGATGACGCGTCGCGGACATCGGATCGGACGTCGAGCGGGCGTCGAGGTGTGACGACGCTGTCGCCGCGGTTCTAAAAAATAGCTACGTCCTCTAATGCTTCGTCTCCACGCGCGCAACGGCGCGCAGGAGCGCGGCGGACTTCAATTCGATCTCTCTCCACTCTTCTTCGGGATCGGACAAGATTGTGATCGCGCCACCGGCGCCGATCCACCGGTCGTCGCCTCGCGCGACGACGCTTCGAATGACGATGTTCAGGTCAAACGCGCTCGAGAAGGAAAAGAAACCAATGGATCCGCTGTACACCATCCTCGGTCCCGTTTCCAGAGCGTCGATGATCTCCATCGTGCGAATCTTCGGCGCTCCGGTCATGCTTCCACCGGGATAGGTCGACCGCACGACGTCCATCTGGCTCACGTCCGAGCGGCGTCGCGACCGTACCGTGCTCACGAGTTGATGCACCGTGGCGTATGACTCGATCTTCATCAACCCTGGAACCTCCACCGACCCGACGTCGCTCACGCGCGCGAGGTCATTTCGAAGTAAATCGACTATCATCAAATTTTCGGCGCGATCTTTCGCGTTGTTCTCGAGCCAGGTGGCGGCGGCGCGATCGGCGTCGCCGCCGAGCGGATGCGCCCGCGCCGTCGTGCCCTTGATCGGCTTGGCCTCGAGCGCGCCGTCTTGGGTGTGTCTCAAGAAGCGCTCGGGGGAGCAGCACAGCACCGTGAGCGGGGGTGAATTTTCGTCAATCGTGAACGATAAGTAAGAGGCGTACGGCGCGGCGTTGCTTCGTCGAAGTTCGGAGTAAAGCTCGCGAAGCGCGTCGGCTCGATCCCCGGGCGTCGATCGCGATCGATGCAACATATTTGTCAGACACACCTCGTACGTGTCTCCGTTCACGATCGCCTCTTGGCTCGCCTCTATGTCAGAAATGTATTCATCTCTCGTTCGTCGCCACGAGAATCCCGTCTTCTCGAGGAGTTCCGCGGAGGAAGCGCTCGCAAATGCATCGCTCATTGCACGAACAGAAGTTGGCTCGAGCGACTCGATCGAGCTTTTCTTCAACACGATCCACGCCTCGGCATCGAGTCGCTCTCCTTCGCCATCGCTCTCGTCATAGAGACCAACAATATACGCATCACCGGTGAGATGATCAAAAGCGATGAATCTATCGGTGAGAAACATCGCCGCGTCCGGGAGCGGCGAATCTTTCGTCGGCGGGAGTGAATCGCACTCGTCGCGCATCTCGTACCCGAGATATCCCACGAATCCACCGTGTAGATCGAACGGAAGCGCCGAGGCGTCGGCTTTGGAAACATCACGTCGACGAAGCTCGTCGTCGAGCCACTGAACGAACCCACGCTCGAGCGTCGACGTCGTCTTCGTGCCGCTCGCGTCCTCGATTGTTAGCGTCCCGGGCGCGCGCCTGGCGCACGATACGCCTCCAACGCGCCATCGAACCTTCTCATCTCCCGCGGTGTGATCTCTGCACTCGGGTGCGTGTGCGAGTTTAAACGTAGCCCGTCGCCACATCTTACCACCGCGACCACCCATGAAACTGAATCGTCCCTTTGACTCGTCCGCGGTGTCCAGCCAAAAGCAATCCGTTCCGTCGTCTCCGCCGAACACGGACCAGAACACGTCCTCGGATGAAACCCCACGCTCGCGCACGTTCACGACATCGTGAACCAGTCGTACCGTCGACGTGGTTACCGGCACCGCTCGCATCGCACCCTCATCCGAGACGTCCGCGTCGCCGAGCGCGCGCGGTACGCCGAGCGCCGCGTTCCCGAACCCAGCGTTTTCGCACGCGCGCAAAAAATTCCTAATCATAACCTCCCCGAACGCCGTGCACACGCTCTCCGGATGGAATTGCACCCCAAACCGCGGGAGTTCGACGTGTTCGATCGCCATCACCGTACCGTCGTCCTCCGCCCACGCGCGTTCGACAAACTCCGCGCCGCACGCCGTCGTCGCCAACGAATGATACCGCGTCACCACGAACCCATTTTCGCCACCGCTCGGCACGCCATCGAATAAAATACACTTAAAATCATGTTTCACGCCCACCACTCTCCCGTGCGCCGGCCCTTTTGGATTCTTGACGCACGTTCCGCCGCTCCGCGCGACGAGCGCCTGGTGTCCCAAACACACCCCCAAAATCGCCCACTCGCACCCCTTCCCATCTCCATTTTCACCCCCCAAGAGCTCGACCGAGACGCCTAAGTCTTCATCCTTGGTCGGCGTCCCCGGTCCGGGCCCGATCACCACCCTCGAGAACGCGCGCGCGTTCCGCAGCGCCTCGACGCCGGCGAAGTCATCATTCTTCACCACTATCGGCGCCACGCCCTCGACGCCGGCGATGACGTGCGCGAGCACGTCGACGTACGAGTCGTAGTTATCGATCAGCAGCGTTCGCGGCATCGTAGCGCGGCCGCGTCGTCGTCTGCGGGCCGGCGCCGCTGCCTCGCCGTGTCGTGGATGCATCTTGATCTATCGTACATCACAATACTACAATATATACGTATATAATAATACATATACCTATCAATATATTCCGAGACGCTGCGCCGGCGCGACGCGCGCGGCGGCACGTCGAGACGCCCGCGAGATCGACCTCGGACGAACGCGCGCGCGGTCGACTCCTCGAGTATTTCCTTCGCGCGATTCCACGTCGCGCGCGAGCGAGCGCGCGCGCGACGTCGTCGCACGCGGACGATCTCCCTCGAGGTTCATCCGGAGACCGCGGACGCGGTGTGAAAGCGTCGACGATGTCCGGGAGCGACGCCAAGGGGGGATCCACCGTCGGGTCGCGAGAAAAGCTGAGCTGGATTATTTTGTATTCCCTGGCCTCGAGCTCGATGCTGGTGATCAATAAACTCGCGGTGTCGAGCAACGGGTTGCCGACGGTGGTGAGCGGGGCGCAGCTCGCGACGTCGGCGGCCGTCGTGGTGGGATTGGAGATGTTCGGAGCGGGCGTCCTCGGACCTTTCGAACGGAAGAGGGTGGGACCGTTCATGTTGTACACGACGTTGTTTGCGTTGGGATTGTTTGCGAACATGAAGGCTTTGATGTTGACCAACGTGGGCGCGGTGATCGCGGCGCGGTGCTGTCTGCCGATAATCGTCTGCATAATCGAGTGGGCGTTCATGGGACGGATGCTCCCCGGGGCACGTTCGGCCTTAAGTCTGAGTGGTGTCGTGTTCGCGGCTGGTTTGTACATCACGAACGATACCGGAGTGGACGTTCAGGGTGGAGCTGGGATGTTTTGGCTCCTGACGTGGTGGCTCTTGCTCGCGGTACAGATGACGTACGGAAAGCACCTGACAGATAACATCAAGATGTCGCAGTGGGAGCGGGTGTTTTACACCAATGCCATGGCGGTACCGCCGACGATCGTGCTGTATTACTCAACCGGGGAGAACAACATGGAGTTTAAGAACGGCGACGGGGCGACTTTTTATTTACTCCTGAGTTGCGTCGTCGGCGTCGCCATCTCGTACAGCGGGTGGAGGTGTCGATCCGTCATCACGGCGACGACATTCACGCTCGTGGGTGTGGTGAATAAGATGGCCACCATCGCCTTCACCATCATCGTGTGGCCGAAGGATTTCTCGGTGATAAAGACGCTCGCCCTATTCGCGTGCGTCGGTTTCGGGTTGCTCTATCAAGACGCGCCGATGCGAAAGTAATCACGTGCGAGCGCCACTTTCGCGCGAACTAGAACCGAGTCATGATGTCGTACAGAGAATGAGCATCACCTAGGCTTAGATCGCATCGCTTGAGGAGAGATTGTAGTTGCAGATGATTCTTATTTTTGCAAGGCTCGCGCGGGAACATCCACGCGTCGCTCGAACACAAAGTCAAATCAGCCACGGCGTCTAGCTACCTTTCGTTGACGCCCTGAGGTGAGTGGAAAATCACGGAAAATAGAAACAAAATCATTCATCATCTTCCTCCTCGGCGCCCCCGGTAGCTTGCGAGTCGTTCATGTCGCTGGTCCACAGAGTCAAGTTGTCGCGTAAGAGCTGCATGATGAGGGTGCTGTCCTTGTAAGACTCCTCGCCGAGAGTGTCGAGTTCACTGATCGCTTCATCGAACGCTTTCTTCGCCATTTGGCACGCGCGTTCCGGCGCGTTCAGGATCTCGTAGTAGAAGACGGAGAAGTTGAGCGCCAAGCCGAGTCGAATCGGGTGCGTAGACTGCAGCTCCGCCTCGGCGGTTTGCTCGGCGCTCTTGTACGCCAAGAGAGTCTCCTCGGCCGCTTCCTTGCGTTCCGCCCCTCCCTTGAACTCGGCCAAGTAGCGCCAGTAGTCGCCCTTCATCTTCTTGTAAAACACCTTGGACTCGCCCGCCGAACACCGGTCCTCCAGGTGGTTCTTGAGCAGATCCAGAATTCTCGTGCAGATGGACGTGAGCTCCTTCTCGACGTTCGCCTTATAAGAAGCGATCAACTTGCACTTATCGCTATCCTTACCGTGCTTCGCCTCCTCCTTGGTCTCGATCGAGCTCACGATGCGCCACGACGCGCGACGCGCGCCGATGACGTTCTTGAACGCCACGCTCAGCAAGTTGCGCTCCTCCACGCTCAGCTCTTCTTCGCCCGACTTGAGCGTCACCTCGCTCATGCAATCCATCATCTCTTCATACCTGGTTCATCGCGCGCACGACGTGATCCATCCGTCAGTCCATCGTTCGCGTCGTCGCGTCGATCGCCCGCGCCCGTCGCCGCCGCGTCCGCGCCCCGACCCCACCCCCCGGCCGAACCCGATCCCACCGAAACCCGCGCGCGTGGACGAACACATCCACGACGTATACCCTGACCCATCCGCGCGTCCACCGACCCATCCGCGCGTGGCCACGACCGCGCGATCTCGCGATCGATTCGCGCGCGATCCCTCAGCCCCCTCCTTCGCGACCGCACGCACCGCTCCGCCTGCTCCGCGAGCTTCGCCTTGTACACGAGATCCTCGCGCGATAACGCGCGCGCGTCGTCGTCGCCGTCGCCGGACATCGCGCGTGCGTGCGCGGCACTGCGCGCGCGGCGCGCGACGCGATCGGTCGACGCCGACGTGATCGACGACACCCTCGCGGTTGGGTTTGATACCGTTATGTGCATCGATATACGCCATGGGCCACTCGGCCCGGTCGCGATTGACGATGTGCGTAGCCCGCGGTTGGGTTTGATACCGTTATGTGCATCGATATACGCCATGGGCCACTCGGCCCGGTCGCGATCGACGACGTGACACCCTTGTGGTTGGGTTTGATGGCGCTATGTGCATCGATATACGCCACGGGCCACTCGGCCCGGTCGCGATCGACGATGTGCGTATCACGCGGTTGGGTTTGATACCACTATGTGCATCAATATACGTACGACGACGTCGCGCCGGGCCTCCGTCGCGTGAATCCTCACGCGATTATTCCATCCCCACGGCGCGCGCGCCCGCGAACGACGCGCGTCGGTAGACGACGACGCGCGCGCGATGTCGACCCCGATCGCCGACGCGCCGCGCGCGATCGAGGGAGGACGGATCGGGGAGCTCGCGTACGCGGGGGCGACGGATTACGCGCGCGTGGGACGCGGGAAGACGAATCCCGACGGACACCGTCCGGATCTCACCGAACCGCACGCGTACGAGGCGCTGCGGGACGTGCGGTTCGTCGCCCTGGGGGGGGGGGCGGCGGCGACGCACTGCGCGGCGATCGATTCGGAGGGGCGATTGTGGACGTGGGGACGAAACGAGCGCGGACAGCTGGGACACGGCGATCGGACGACGCGCGGCGCGCCGACGGAGGTGCGAGCGCTGCGGGAACTCGATGTGAAGTGCGTGTCGGTGGCGTGTGGGAAATCGCACACCGCGGTGGTGTGCTCGAACGGGGACGTGTACGGGTTCGGGTCGAATAAGCAAGGGCAGATCGGATGCGGGACGATGAAAAAAGTTATGAAGAAGGGGGACGCGGAGGACGATAAGTTGACCCCGGTGAAGGCTTTGGTGGCGAACGGCGCGTCGGTGTCTTGCGGTGGAGAGTTCACGGCGGTTTTGACCAGAGACGGGGAGGTTTTCACGTACGGTTTGCCGCAATACGGACAGCTCGGGCACGGGACGGATCACGAGTACAACACGAGCGCGAGCTCGATTAAGATTGTGTACGAGCCGCAACCGCACCCGAAACGGGTCGTCGCGAACGGGTTCGGGGAGAGGAAGATCGTCAAGCTGTCGTGCGGCGTGAATCACGTCGCGTGCTTCGACGACGCCGGGAAGATTTGGACGTGGGGATTCGGCGGGTACGGAAGACTCGGTCATCGCGTGCAAAAAGATGAATTCGCGCCGAAAATGGTGGAAATCCAGGGCGGTGATCGTAATCTGTGCCCAGCGGACGCCGTCATCGGCGCCGGATCGACGTCGACGTTCGTCTCCGCTCTGCAAGGACAGCTGTACGCGTTCGGTAAGATTAAGACCACTGGGGACAACCTGATGTATCCGACGCCGTTCATGGATCTCCAAGGATGGGTCTTGCGTGACTTCTCCGCCGGGAACGTCACGTTCGCCGCGTGCGCGGAGAAGTCCGCGGTGACGTGGGGTGGGGGCCAATACGGTGAGCTCGGATACGGGCCGAAAGGGAAGAAATCGAGCGCGAACCCAGACTTGGTGCCGTCGCTCGAGGGCAAGAGGACGTACGCCGTCGCGTGCGGCGTCGGATACACCCTTTTCTTGGTCGATAAGGAAGACGCAAAGGATCTTCCGAGGTTTACTCCGGCACCGGACGATGAACCGGGGAAGAAGGTAAAAGCAGCGCCGGCGAAGGGCCCGGTGGCAAAGAAACAAAAGAAATAATAACGTCACTACTAATACGCGTTGGATCGTGGGATAGCACATGTGTAAATAAATATTTCATGAATCTCGGAGCCAATTTTCCGCTACGTCATACCTCGCTCGCCGCAAGATTAAGAGAGGCCCAGAACATTGCCGGATTCGGCGTCCACTGCAATTTCGTAGTACGCCGGACGCGTTGGGAGACCCGGAATCGTCGGGAACGCGCCAACAAGCGGGACCAGGAAGCCCGCGCCCGCGCTCAAACGAACGTCACCGATGGGAAGCGTGAAGCCACTCGGCGCGCCCTTGAGGTTTTGGTCGTGGGAGAAGGAGTACTGCGTCTTCGCCATGCAAATGGGCAAGTCACCAAAGCCTTGCTTGGTGTAGAGGGCAATCTTCTCTTGCGCCTTTTCAGACAACTCAATGCCGGACGCCTTGTAGATGTTCTTCGCGACGGCTTCGATCTTACTCGCGATGTCAAGATTAGTGTCGTACCCAAACTTGAAGTCCTTGCAGTCCTCGTTCTTCTCGCACGCCGCCTTCACCGCGTTGGCGAGCTCAACGGCGCCGGCGCCACCCTTCGCGTGGTGGGTGCACAGCACCGCATCTTCGGCGCCGGCGGCGATGGAGAGCTCACGAATAACCTCGTGCTCGGCCGGAGTATCAGTCGGGAACGCGTTGATCGCGACGACGACCGGGATGCCGAAAGCCTTGGTGTTTTCAATGTGACGCACCAAGTTGCACATGCCGTCGCGCACCATGTCGACGTTTTCATTCGTGTACGAGTGATCCAACGGCTTACCCGCGGTCACTGGCGGACCACCGCCGTGGCACTTCAGCGCTCGAACAGTGGCGACGATGACGGCACAGTTCGGCTTCAAGCCCGATTTGCGGCACTTCAAGTTGACAAACTTCTCGAGGCCGATGTCGGCGCCGAAACCGGCTTCGGTGACGACGAAACCGCCCTTACCCACCATGGACAGACCGATCTGGTCGGCGATGATGGACGAGTTACCGCTCGCAATGTTCGCGAACGGACCGGCGTGCACGAGTACAGGGGTCGCTTCGAGGGTTTGCATGAGCGTCGGCTTGATGGCGTCCTTCATGAGCGCCATGACGGCGCCCGTGACGCCCAAGTCGTCACACGTCACCGGCCCACCCTGACGATCGGGACCGACAACCATGGCTCCGAGACGGTGTTCCATGTCCGCGAGCGACGTCGTCATGGCCAACACGGCCATGATCTCGGACGCGACGGTGATGTCGAAACCCGTCTTTCGCGTCTTTCCCTTCTCCGTCGGGGACTCGCCGACGGTGATCTCGCGCAAGAAGCGATCATTCATGTCCACGACGCGTCTCCACGTGATGCGCTCGCGATCGATATCCAAGCGAACGAACTTGGAGCGCTCTTCCTCGGTCAAATCGTCCGGGTTGGTCTTGTCGATGCCGAGCCTTTTGAGGCGCTTGAACATGATGGCGGAGAACGCGCTCGATCCGTCCTTCTTCTTCGGAATCAAGCGTTTCCACAGCGCTTCGTCGCTTTGAGTTTCCTCATGGAAAACCCGAGCGTCGATCGCCGCCGCGACGAGGTTCGTCGCGACACCGATGGCGTGAATGTCACCCGTCAAGTGCAGGTTCATCTCCTCCATCGGAATCACTTGCGAGTATCCTCCCCCCGCGGCGCCACCCTTGATCCCGAACGTCGGTCCCATCGACGGCTGACGAATGCACGCGACCGCACGCGCGTTCGTGTGCGCCTGCAGCGCCTGAACGAGTCCGATCGTCGTCGTGGACTTACCCTCTCCGAGCGGCGTCGGCGTGATGCCCGCCGTGACGACGTAATACCCGTGTCCAGCCGTCGCATCGCACGTCGGCCCCCTCCCACCCGCCCCCGCGCGCGCGCCCAGACTCATGCTCAACTTTTCGCTCAGTTTCGCCTTGTACCGTCCGTACAACTCGTAATCATCCTCGGATAATCCCAGCATCGTCTCCGCCACCGTCTTAATCCCGAGCGGCGTCGCCGCGCTCGCGATCTCGATATCGCTCGGCGTCGGCGTCGTCGTCTCCCGCAATCGATATCTCCCGAAATCGAACCCCTCGTCCGCCATCTCGTTCGCCCCCGACGCGCTCGAGCGCTCGTCGCTCTCCACCACCGCGCTCGAGCGCGCGCCTC